ATTTTCATATAAAAATGTCCTGACAAGTATACATGTGACCAGATTGTTCGAAATGTGTAGCGCAAATACATAACATTTTTCAGATCAACTCCGTCTTCTCATTGTTCTATCGAGATATTATAATAATTTTAATAGATGAGATCATCAGTCAATTGAAGCTAGATCACTACGAAGAACCTGTAAACATTGAACGACCGTTTTGTCCTAGTATGGAACTCTTAAGTAGCGTGTATCCACCTTTATCCCGTTTCGCCAGAACCTATCAGTCTCGTACGCGAGCGTTTAATTATTAGATTGGTTAAAGTTAGACATTAACTCAGTGTTCTGAGAATTAAGTGTTTGAAGGCAAAACCAAAGGTCTTGAGTTCGAGTCGTGAATATGGAGTTTCTGATGCTCACTATGAAAGTCCTGTACTAGAATGGAACAGTTATTCAATGTTCCTAGGGTTCAATATGTTTAAACATATGATAATCATAGTTCTAACTATACAACTACACTTTTGTTAGAGTAATAAACATTCGTTTACTTATAAATCTATCGAGAAAAGCTCATTAGTAGTTTTGCTTAAATTAGAATAGATAAACTACTGTGTATGGACTTGAACTGACAAGAGACATTATAAAGTCGAAATATACTGGGAATAAAGATCTAATATATAACACATTTTCTTGTTCAATGAGAACAATCAATGAATACTACACTTAGACTAAACAAGGTGTAAACTTCATAGATGATAAGTGTTGAAATGAAAACTATTCTTACAGACTAATGATACTAGCTTGTCATCAGTTCTAAATATTATCATCACTAATCCAGCTGAATATGAGGATCTTCAGAAATTTTCATCATATATTCATCTTTCTACTTGTAAGTAGTAGTTTATTAGTATTAGGAAAATGTTTATTATTATATTTATAACTATATTTGGTCATTAACTCTATTCAACCGATTCTTTTCGAAAATAGTTTAATATCAGTATGGAGTTATGGAAATTGTTGTGATTGTTGATGTGATCAATATTAGACCACAATTGAAAACCTGGGGTCACTGGACGGCCATTTCGTCTTAGTAAGGAAGTTACCCACCAAAGATAATAAAAGATGGTTATTCAATTTCGTGGATTTGTTGAAGGTAGTTTAGATTTTAAACTTTCGCATGTAAGACCGAAGGTTCTGTGTTCGAATCCAGTGTGTGGAATCGTGGATATGCATTGCTCAGAATTCTCATTCTAGCACGAAACAACCATCCAGTGCTTCAAGGTTTTCATTGTTGATCTAACATTGATCGATTCATGATCTCAGTCATAAAATGGATTCATAATTGTAAATTGTGTGATATAATAATTAAAAAATCTCCCTTACATCAATCAAATTACGATTTTTTTAGTGTGGGGGATTGTGGAGATATCATTGAATTGTTCAGGTTTACTTAAATACAATACCATTTACCATATCATTACTTGTAACTAAATTCGTGTGGTAATTCCTGATATTCCATTCATAAGTTATGATTTATTGATGTTTACTATGTTGGGAGTAAAACAAATATGATCGGTGTTAATGTATTTATTTATTTATTTTAACACCATTTGATCCCGCAGGATACCATGTGCACCATTGGTTTGAAATCCGGTTAAAGCGCCGGACATTCGCTTTTCATCCTCCCATTTTCGTAAACAACAACCCCGCCACGATAAGACAGTGAGTAGGATTTCCCTGGCAGAGGCTATATACGCGTGGCCATGTGAGAGTATTTCGAGAGGGAAAGCGGACTCTCCACACTCTCGGCCAAAACAGGGCATTTGGGGGCTGATGGGCGGGCTTTGGACAATATCATGAATAACTAATAAAATTTAAGGCATAAAATGCCAATTCATTTCTTTCAACGCTAATCATTGGCCTCGTGGCCTGAATTTCCTGAGTTAGAAACTTGACCTCTAGGCCATTAATTCGACTACCCAATCATTTTTAATGTCTAACTTTAATCAATCCACGACATTGAGCGACCATCTTCCACTGTCTTCAGTATGTAACTGCCTTACATTCGACACGGTTAAACTACACTGGTCACAGCTTGTCGCTAGAACTTGGAAAATTTACTCTCGAAACAAATCATCAATGAACACAATAATTATCAATATAGAATTGTGGAGATTGTTCAATTGTAATTGAGTCTCATACTAGAACGAAACGGTTATTCAATGCTTTCAAATTTTTAATGGTGACCTAACAATGATCGGTGTTCATGATCTCAACAATTTCCACAACCTTATACAAATAACCGATTATTATTTATTCATAGTATCCATGTATAGAATGGTGTATATTATATGACAAAGTTGAAACACACTTCTTACCTAATTGTTTCTTCACCTCTCTCTCTCTTTCGCTCTTTCTTTCTCTCTTTGTCAGATTAATTTTCACTATTTTGGTTATGTAACATGTACAATTAACTTGGGACAAGAGAAAGACTAAGTACGCCAATTATAAATAACACTACTTTTAACTATATTACATAGAAAAACCAACAATGTGTAATTACATATCATGTATACCATTCAGATTACCTAGGTTATTTTGTTGCTATGCTGTGAAAAATAAACATTGAACTAAATTAATATTACGTTATTTATTTGAATAGGATAGGTGACACGTGACTTGTATGTGTATACTTTTCATATTGTCATTGTCATGTTGATAACACTCATTATAGAGTGGTTTCACAATTGTTACTTCTATATCCTTTCTTTTTCTGTTGCTATGCCATATTAATGGAAGAAGTCTAGTATGAAGTCATTTTGGAGTTGTATTATAATGAGTAGTGATAATTGATCATTTAGATAATTGTTATGATGGAATGAATATTGGAATTGGTTTGTTGAATTATGATTAAGTATAATTTTAACGGTTAGATTCATGAGTCCATCAATCACTTGTGTTTGCACACAAGATCGAAGGTCTTGGGTTCGAGTCTTATGTGCGGGATTGTGAATGCTTTCAGATTTTCTATGATGGTCTAGCTTTAATCGACTCCTGAATTTAACTGTGAAGTTTACTACAATTTCTACAAATCCCTATTCTGATAATTTTATTGTATAATTACTGAATAACTAGATTACTATGTCTATGTATTGGTTAAACCATCAACTATTGTCATACAACTTGGTTTTTTCCAATTTGTGGTGAATTCACAGCCACAGCCTGTTTACTTATAGTTGGTAATCTTCATTTTATGGTGTGATTCGGAGTGATATTGTCTATGCATAAACCACGTCTGTTTGAAGTATAGGGATAGTAGAGTTATCACAATTGATTGATCACTGAGTGGTGATCAATGTCATGCTTGTCTAGTCCTTATTAGTGTGGATCGAATACTATCGATCATGTTGCAATGTGGCCACCAGTCTAGGTGACTTGACACTGCGTGCACTATATATTGAGATTTAGATGGTGGTTGGAGGTAGTCGACAGGAAACCCCTGGACCCTGGTTTCGTGCTACTTGGCACTCGTCAAAAAGGTGTATCTGTAATCTTGAGGGAACTGGTGCTTACACCTAGTGATCAATCAATTGTGATTACATCTCAGTCCTACAGGAGGTCAGTTGCGGCTCGGATATCCCAGTGGTAACGTCTCTGACTGTGAAGCTGGGTGACACGGGATCGAATCCATCAGGGAGCACCAGTTCCCTCAAGATTACAGGTACACCTTGCTGATGAGTGCCAAGTAGCACGAAACCCGGGTCCAGGACTTCCTGTTGACTACCTCCAAGCACCATCTAAATAATAGAGTTATGTTTTTTTATTTCTGGAAAGGGCTTGGGCATAATAGACCGATAGGAGCTTAGTTATCAAATCATGATCAATAATGCATATAATTATTCAACTTGAGGATAGTACTTTGTCAAGGCAATGATAGATACGAAATAGATCAAATTAGAATTATGATTCTGAATAGCTACTTGATATGTGATATTGGTCAGCGGTTTCATGACATAACAACAATAATAATAACAATAAGTCAGATTATTCACAGAATGATTACAATTAAAGTATCGTTAAAAGTCAAAGAGTACATCTCATCAAGCCACACACACACATACACACATCTTCATTAGCTCAACACAGATTGTACTCAGGACTTCTAAGTTATGGAGAGGTGACTGAATTGTCAAAACCACTGTCGATGTCCAATGGTACAATCTTCACCTTAATCAACTTACTGCATAACATGATGATCATCTATATGAGATTATCAACATTTAAAAGAAATTATAAATTAGTCATTTATCAGTATATCAGTTATCCTAAGGTATTCTACATTCAATCATTAAGTTATATCTTTCGGACTCTATTGAATGTACTTTGATATAGTCAATCAAATAGTATCCTTAGTAGCTCAAAGCAAAGTATATAAATTTATACTTTGTAAATGAATTGAATAGATAAGATTTAAATCAATTTCATTATTATCCTTAGAATGAAAGAGATTATGGTTTCGAACTATGAAAGTCAGTTCTCATATATAAATGTATATTCAACTTTCTAAAGCATTTACTTATAGGTTTGAACTCCATTCTGTTTAAAATTGAATTTAAGTAATTTAATTGAGTAGTATATAACCATGGAAAACCTAGAAGCACTGGACATCCGTTTTGTCCTGGAATGGGACTAATCAGAATCTATAGTGAGATCGTAACTCACTAATGACAATGGTGGATGTGTCGCTCAATATCTTGGATTAGTTGAAGTTAGACAGTTGCACCGTTAGATTTTGGTAGGCTCAGTGTTCTAGAGATTAAGCGTTTGTGTGTGAGATCGAAGCTCCTGGATTCGAGTCTCACGAGCGATATGATGGATGCATACTGTTGAGGAATCCCACAATACGACAAAACAGCCATCCAGTGTTTCCAGGTTTTCCATATTGATCTAGCTTCGATTAACTCATGATCTCAAGTATTAAATTTACTATGATATTCACAAAACCCCTCTCTTTTGCACAGATACAACTGATTGGACAAAATTGAAATGTATCCATCAACCATTACAACAAAATCAATCAGATTATTTGAATCATAATGAAGATAATCATCATTTAAAGAATCAAATAGAATTGAATTCTTATGAAAATGATCATCATCGAAATACAATAAGTCCAATTGAATTAGTTTATGATCAAATGAAATCCTTAATCAATGGTACATTAACACATGATAGTGGAATAGGGAATTCAGAACATATTGAACAATTAAACAAAGAGACTACTACTACAACTGCAACCACTACTAATACTACTGAAATAATACATTCTAGTAGTATAAATAGTGATGATAATATTAATCATAAAGATGATGATGCATTAGATTTAACTGTAAACAAATTATTTACTAAAAATACTTTGAATCAAGCACATTTCCTGTTTGATAATGGAAAACATCAACAAACTATTGAAGATAGTCAATTGTATGAATCGTATATTAAAGGTATAACAATGAATCAATTAATGCAATTTCTACCATCTTCATCTTCATCAGAATGTTATAATTTAACTTTAAAAACAACACCGACAACACCGACAACAACAACGTCACCCACTATTCCACTTCTTCCATCTACATTGAGTAATGTCATGAATAGTTGCGATGGGAAACTAACAAAAGCTGTTAATGATAGTAATTTCTGTCCATATTCTCAAATATCATCTTTATATGGAACATCATATCAACCATTCGAATTAACAAAGAATTCATCAACATCATCATCATCATCATCCGTAGATTTATTCACTGCAGCAGCAGCAGCTTATGCAGCAGCAGCGGCCGCCGCTGCTGCTGCTTCCTTAGTTCAACCAACAATATCATCCAACATTACCACTATTCCAACAACAACAACCATGATCCATTCACCAATGCTATCAACTAATGATCATGATCATCATGCATTCATGTTAACAACAATGATGAAAGAAAGATCATCAACCTATTCAAATACATTAGAACAAATGAATCATAGATTATTAACATTACCAATGAATAATAATGGTACATCAATGATACCACAAACCTTATTAACATTGTTTACAAATTCAAATTATAATTGGCCGCCAAAATCATCAACTCCTGTATCCAATAGTAATAATAATAATAATAATAATGAATTAATGTATAAACATCGTTTACAATATCAATTACCTCCTGGATCATTTATAAATCAACCTTATTCAGAGAATCAATCCATTATGCATATGGATGATGAATATTTAATGAATGAAGAAAGTCCAAATGAATTCAATCAATTCAAACCATCACCTACAATAGAATATGGTCATTATGAACAGAAACTGAATCTTCATAATGATAATAGTGATAATGATAATCATGATAATGATAATGATGATGATCATGATGATGATGGTGATTATGATGAAGATTGTTTAACCATACAAAGACAACAACAAATATCATCAACAATGATAACGACTACAACAATAACAACAACAACAACAACAACTACAACTACTACTACTACACGAACATCAACTACCACAACATCATCATCATCACGTCCATCTGAAGATTATTTAGAACAATTTATGAAAATTGATCAATCACAAAATATATTATGGCGTCAATTAGCTGATCGATTTCAACGTACACTTGGTCCAAATCAATGTGGTGTTTGTAATAAAGTACTTAGTTGTCGTAGTGCATTAACAATGCATTATCGTGTACATACAGGTAAGTAAATCAAGTATATACTCTCTATTCTGGAGATTTTCATAAGTTAAACTCTATAGATGTCACATTACTTACTTACTTACGCTTGTTACTCTCAATGGAGCCTAGGCTGTCGATCAACATTCTCCAACCCACAATATACTGGGCCTTCCTTTCCGGTTCTATACAATTGTTACTCATGTTTCTATATTCAGTGATCCAACTACTGGATTATTTGGCTGGGGCTCAATGATATTTCACTGGCCCTACACAGATCCAGTACTATTAGTAACGAGGTCATAGGACTTCTATATTAATCTCATTTAACTATCCAATACTTTTTATCATTTTAAATGAAATCACTTCATGATAAATGTCACTTACAAATGAAAATAATTATTCTTAGTATCAGAAGGAGTTTTATGGAGATTTTAGTAATTTTATAGTTGAATTATTCATGAGTCAATTAAAGCTAGACCACCATCGAAAATCTCGAAGCACTGGATGGCCGTTTCGTCCTAGTATGAGATTAGACCACTAAGCTGACATCCAATGGTGTTAATGTCTGGGGGTCAAGTGTTCACGCATGTGAGACTGATAAGTCCTAGGATCGGATCTCACGTGGTAAGATCATGGATACGCACTGTTGAAGAGTCTCATACTAGGATGGAACGGCTATCCAATATTTCCAGGTTTTTCATGGTGATCTAACTTCAATTAACTCATGGATTTCAACTATTACATTACTATAATATCCACAAAAACCCCATCTGATATTAATTAGCATATACTCACTAATGATTGTCTCCAAGAGGTAGTCCCTAGAGTTGTAGTGAGAAACAGTGACCAGTGGATTTTAACCGAGTGTTGGATGTGTCAATGTTGAATGTGTCGTTCAATTTTGTGTATTAATTGAAGTTAAACATTAACATTGTTGGATGCTAGTGGTTAACAGTTCGCTTTCGTATGAAACTGATAGATCTTAGATTTGAATCTCACAAGACAGAATTGTGGATACACACTATTGAGAAGTTTCATACTAGGACAATAACAATCATTCAATACTTTCAAATCTCCTATAATGATTTAGCTCATGAATTCAATGATTAAAATAAATCAATAAATCTTGTTTAAATTCATCAAGATCAAGGTCAAGATCAAGATCTGTCATCCCCTCCACCTTTCCACCCCTTCAACAATTCCATTTTAATTATTAAAAAAAATATTGATTTAAATGTTTAAATCGTTGATGACAAATTTAAAATTTAAAATTAATTTATTGATTATCGATTATCGATTTTTTCTCTCTTTTTTTTCTTTTTCTTTTCTTCATTATTCATTGAAATATTTATAGAAGAACGTCCATTTGTCTGTATTATATGTGATAAACGATTTTCAACGAAGGGTAATTTAAAAACTCATTTAGGAGTAAGTCATTTTATTGTTTTATTATTTCATCATTTTTATGTATCATTTAATGATTGATTTATTTACTAACGTTTGTTACTTTCTCATTGGAAGAGTATAAACCATTGATCAGTATTCTTGATCTTGGATAAGTCGAGACTTTAATTTATGGACAAGTCAATCACAGAGGTATTTTAGAGATTTCAACGTTACGGTGCCAACTTCAGGGCTTAATGACAACGTACGATCGGTTCACATGGAATTTTGTACAAAATGTGATAATTGGGTGGCTATAACAAATAAAACGGCAAAACTATAATTTGTGGACGAAACAGTCAGATATAAGATAATAGATCTCGGATTTGAACGCGAAAGACTTTCATCCATTTGGCTAAATAGGGTTTTGACATTATAGCTGATGTCAGTTCGTGATGAAAACCCCATATATAATTCCTAACTGAGGCAAATCATGACAATTATTGCGAAGTGGATAATTAAAGCACCAGTAACACTGGATGCAGCCAGGTACTACAATATATATGGATGTTTGGAGAGCGTACAGACTCTTACATAAGCTTCGTTATGTGCATCGTGTCGTTATCCACAAGTAGCATTCTATGCACTCAACAACCGGAGTGCACATAAACAATATTGAAGCTATGTGGTCGAGGCTGAAAGAGTTTTTGAGACTTTATCATGACTCCAGACGCCGACTATTCTGTAGCAATATGGATGATTTCCTCTACTGTATGCATTATGATTTTAGAACCTCTGAACCTCTGAACCTCTTTCTAATCTTGACAAGTTTTTGAACTACGTATAAGAAGTGTATCCACTTTATTTCCTTGATTTCGTACAACATATTTTTACTTTATATTGACTATTTGCTGATTGTCTAATATTCCTCACGGTCACTTAAGATTCGTTCAAATGTTGTCCATAAATTAGAGTCTCGCCGCTGGACAATCCTTTCCAGTTGTTATTCATCTTTGTCATATTTGATTCCAATTTCCAACTTAATGTGTTCATTGGTTTTCCGTATTCACATTTCCTTTTAGGATTTTAAGTTAAGGCTTGACTCGGTAAATTCCGTAATGTATATTTTATCCACTTTCTCTTCAGTTGGAAGTTGGTTTATTCTCTCCTACATTAAGGCTGATGTAAATTAATTATGATTAGAAAATTTAATGATTGAATTTATGAGTAGATTTAAGCTAGATCATCATGAAAAAACTTAGAAATACTTGGCAGTTGTTTCGTTTTATTGCGAGACTCCTCAACAGTATGAATTCACGATCTGGAACACGCGATTCGAACTCGGGACCTCTGGTTTTATTCGCGAACACTTAGACTCTAGATCACTGAGTCAACATCCGACGGAGTCCTATACTAAGATGAGACGGCTATCCAGTGCTTCCAGCTTTTCCAAGGTGATCTACCTTAAACTGATTCATGAATTCAACCATTAAATTACTACAATTTTTAAAAACTCTCATTCTGATAATAATCATTAGAACTGTAAACCACCATTGTAAACCTGGAAACATTGAATGGCCGTTTCATTCTAGTATAAAATATGATTGCACAATTTCGTGGATTGGTTGAAGTTAGACATTAACACCGTTGAATGTCGGTTTAATAATTTAAAGGTTAAGCGTTCACGTGTGAGACCAAAGTTCCTGAGTTCGAGTCTCGGACCTTCCAGTGCTTTCAGATTTTCAATCATGATTTAACATTGATTGATGCATAATCTCAACCATCTCCTCAACAATCTCCATAATCCCATACTGATAATGGAATCTTAATCATACGCTACACATTTTCCAACTTCAGTCAATTCATATTTATAATCTGATGTTGACGAGACTATTATTTATGGACGAAGCAATCATATATAAGATAATAGGTCTTGAATTTTGGCGCGAAATTCACCCATTCATTTGGATAAATAGAGTGTTGGCATTATAGCTTATGCTAGTTCGTGATGAAAACCTGAAATCTAATTCCTAAGCCTAATCATCAACTGTAAATTCTAATTCTAATTCCTCACACTTGTTTTATATCCCTCATCTACTGATATGCGTAAATAAGTAGATTTGATATCATTTTTTCCTTGTCTCTTTTGTATCATTTTTAGCAACATCATGAAACAATAGAAGCATATCGTACAGCAGTTGCTATAGCAATGGCAACTGGGACTGCATTACCACGACCTCCACCAATGTCATCGACTACTGTTACAGTTCCACTTTCAAATTCTATTCCAATACCTCAAGTGATTAGTTCAATATCTTTATCAAATCATACACCAACTATATCGTCCTCTTCTACCTTATCTCCTTCATCCACAATCTCAACTTCTTCATCTTCATTTAATAAACTATCAAAAAATTCACCAATTAACCCGTCAACATCTCAATCAATTTATGTGGATGATTTAAAATTGAATAATAATAATAATGAATTACAGTTCACTTCAAATACATTCTCGTTATCATGGTTACCACCTACAAGTCAACAATCCTTAGCTCTATTGAATTCCAATTGTTCCGTAGGAAATTTTCAAAAACGAATGGATTCCAATTATTCATATGATTTAATGTTATATGATGAAGGTAAAGAGAATTATCGAATGAATACTAATACTACTACTACTACTAATACTACTAATACTACTGATAATAATCATAGTCACTTATCAATAAGCAATACAAATCAATTATTACAACATTATAATATACATAATCGTAATCAGTTTGAATCTATGAAATTCACAACCAATTATACTGAATTATCGAAATGTATTGATTCTAGTAACGATGATAATAATAACGATCCAATCAATATGAATAACAATGACGATGATGATGATGATGATGATGATGATGATGGTGATGATGAGAATGAAGTTGATATTACTGTTGGAATTGATTCTGGTACTTGTGAATCTGTGATCATTGTTGATGACAATGAGAAACAATATCATCGAAATAATGAACAACATTTATCAAGGAATTGTATTGTTGAATATAAATCAACAACTCCATCACCATCATCGTCATCATCATCATCATCATCATTATCATCATCACCATCATTATTTCCTTTATCCATGATTTCTACTACTACGACTACTACTACAACTACAACTACTACTAGTACTACTAATAGTAGTAGTACTAGTAGTACAACAAATGAAACATTAATTCATAAAAAAGATTTCTATCTTGATTATACAACAAATAAATTTTTATCAGTTGCTAACTGTTTGTAAAAAAAAAGAAAAGAAAAGAAAAATAAAAAAAAATAAACAAACAGAGAGAACATTTTTTTGCTTGATTTTTTTCATGTTTTTGTTTTCTTTACTAACACTATTCTATTCTGTTCTATTCTTGTTTTCTTATTTATTTACTTGCCTGAATTCATAGTTTCTTCTTAATTGTTCAACTATATTGATATAAATTATAATAATATATTTCATTAAATATTGTCACCACCCCTTCCCCTTTCAATGTGGGTGGTGGGGTGAAGGAGGTAGAACTGTAAACATTTCAGTTTAATATTGTCATCATCCTCCCCTTTCGGTGTTGGGGTGGGGTGAAGTAGGTAGACCTGTAAACATTTCAGTTTAATATTGTCACCATCCCCCATTTCGGTGTATGTGTGTGTGGGTGCGGGGGTGGGTGAAGGAACGTGGTAAAACTGTAAACACTTCATTTTAATAAGGGAATTTTGTAATTCTCCTGTAATTACAATATTGATAATTGAATTTATTGATTATTTTTGTCAATGATAATAATGATGGAAACATTATTAGTCATGGTTACTAAATTTTGGGATTCCCCCCTTTTTTGTTTTTTTTAAAAAATAGAATCTATGTAAAGAGTATAATGTAGAATTATAATTATTTAGAGAAATTAAAATAACATTTTGAATTTAATGTTGAATTGTTTTCTTCTGTTACTTAAAAAAAAGCCTCCAGTATTCTGTGTTTTTTTAGGGTTCGGTCGGTTGGAGGAGGTGGGGGGAAATGTCATATTTCATATTTCAATGATTGAAACTGATTATGTGTTATCTTCTTATAAACTGTTAGTTACCATCTGAGATGATTGTTAATTAGAATAATGGCTTATTGATGACCAGATCAAGTTTGATGGAGTTTTGTTCTCTGAGCTGGATGGTTAAGTTGTGAAGCTTTCATCGTTCTTCTGAACTACATAGTCAACACAAACTTTAGGCAGAAGTGAAGTTTTGTTCTCTGAGTTTGGCGATATGTTTGTGTTCAAATTCGAACATTTCACTTCTACCTGAAGTTTGTGGTGATGATGTCGTATAGAAGAATGATGAAAATTCCACTACTAAACCATTCAGCTCAGAGAAAAAAAACTCCATCAAAATCAGTCATCTGAGCTACAATTCTTCTCCACCATCTCAAGACCAGATCAATGACGTATAAATTACTACAAGTAATCTAGTGTTAACTTTGAGTTCTTATTGTACTATCAAGATAGTAGCATTACTCCTAAGTCAACCGGTTTAATCCAGATCATCAATATTAGCCTCTGTTATACGAATCATATATTCCAAATATACACAGTTTATATACAGACCATATCATACCATAAAATAGAAAATAACAATTATACAAGATCAAGCCAAAAATGGTTGCGATTATGAGAGACTGTTACTAATAAATTGGGAATATCTTAAGAATAGTAAGTCACAGAATACTAATCCATAGATCAAATGGAAGTTTATGATGAGAAGAATATGAATATACATATAATATAGTTACTCAATAGTCATACAATAAGATTATATATGATAATGAGAGTCCATAAATAAATCCTATCGGTTACTATCCACTTATTCTTCATTCGAATATAACAGATTGACCAATTACTTCCTAAAAGTCTATAGAAATCATCTATAGCTGAGCTCAAAACACAGAATAAAAGAAAATAAGTATCCAAAAGAAGCTTCATTTTCAAAGTTAGTATAAATACAAAAAAATGTTTATAGACCTGTATAAGACGATGATGGATATTCTAAAAGCTTCGAGGTGGGTTCACCCTCCCTCTCGAAATACTCTCACACGGCCGCGCGTATACAGCCTCTGCCAGGGAAGTCCTACTCACTGCCTTCTCGTGGCGGGGGTGTTGTTTACGAAATTGAGAGGACGAAAAGAGAATGTCCGGCGCTTTAACCGGATTCCAAACCAATGGTGCACATGGGCACCAGTATCCTGCGGGAACAAATGGCGTATGAACTAATTTTCGGTCACCGGCTACCATGGGACTGCATCTCCTTACGATGCTCCACTGCTGTGTGGGTTAGACCTTTAGGTCAAAGGCTCGGGGTGTGGCCCCCTAAGATAACCACCTGCATCGGTCTGGGCACTCGGGCAGTAACGCAGCCCACACGCAATTAATGAACTGAAATTGTGTGGCGCATATATGTTTGGCGCACTCCTGTACCAATATATATGTGTTCAAATAAAATAAAATAAAATAAAAGCTTCGAGAAATATACTAAAATGAATGTCAAGATTGAGAATTATTGAACTTAGGTACAATATGTAATCTGTTGTTTTTCTGATACTCTCTTGAAAGTCTTTTCCTTACTTACTTCCTTACTTACTCACATATGCCTGTTACTCCTCGTGGAAGAGCATAGGCTGCTGACCAGCACTTTCCATCCAATCCTGTTCTGGGCTATCCTTTTCAGTTGTTATTCATCCTTTTTCATATCCGCTTCTATTATTCGATGTAATGTGTTCTTTGGCATTAAAACCTGAACTTAGATTTTATACTATTTGACACTCGTCAACAAGATGTTCCTATAATCTTGATGGAACTGATACTGTTTGATGGATTCAATCTCATATCACCTAACTTCACAGTCAGAACTGTTACCACTGAACTATTCGAGCTATCTCTATTGCATATGAATTGATTAGATGATTTATTTTCAGTTTTTTTTCTTTTTTTTTAATCAGCTCCTGATGACTTCACGATCATATTTAAGGCATCATTAATAATCTATGATCATTAAATGACTATTCTATCCTGATATGATGGAAAGAAAAGTCCATTTTCGATTGATTTAGTCATTATAAGTTTTATTCAACATTCAACATCCGTTTTGATTCAACTCGAGGATCATTCAATGTAGTATTTGTTACTGTTTTCCCAGTATAATATTTTCTTCTGTATAACAAACGATATTCTTGTATTCAGTTGACATGTACTATACTCACTAAGTGATTTGTTATAACTGAGTATGTGATCTAATCCTAATTATGAATCAAAAATGGGTGTGCAATCAATATAGAAACCAGTGTATTTTAGACGAGATTCGATTCGTCGTTGTCATAGTGTTTGGAGAGCTAATAAATCTTCACTTATACCAGTCTTTGTATTCTTACTTTCGCATTGTGGGGCATTGTCAAGATCCCTCGTTTCCAGTATAAGTGATCAGCGTTTTTATTTTTTGTGGCAAAACAATTACAACCTCATATGAAACTCTTCAATAATTTCATCATGAATAATTTGGTTAGCGTTTTTTTTACCAAGTTAGCTTTCTACGAGATCGGGACGCTAACCCCATGCCCTACCCTCCTCCTTTATCCGGGCTTGGGACTGGCAGTAGCCCTCGGAGGGACTCCAGGCGGAGTTTCAATAATTTCAAGTCTATGATATTTAATACCTTTTTCATTTACTTATATAAGAATAGTTGACATTTCTTTCTTATTTCATTCAATTTATTCTATTCTATTCTAATCAAATTTATGTCCTTTATAACACTTTGATATAATATACCGAAAAAAAAATAAATTCAAAACAAAGAAAGAAAAAAAGAAAAAAAGGAGAAAGAAAAAAAGAAAAAAAGAAAAGAAGATCAAATGTAAATTCATATGAATATTAATTATATATATATATATATATATTGTAGATGTAGATGCACAAAGAGAAAGGGGGGGAGAGGGGGGGCAAGAGAGAGAGAGAGAGAAAACTCGTTTCAAAGTGTAATTTTTATTTTATTAAAATAAGGTTATCATGATCATAATGAGTAGTTTGTTATCCTTTGGTGTTGTTGTTCTCCAAGTTGTTGTTGTTGTGCTCGTTGTTGTTGTTTTGTTTAAATGAACTGATGATCATTAAATGTTCAACATTACTAGATATATAATTTTAATATTTAAATTTAATAGTATTATAGAATTGTGATTTGTGTGTGTGTGTGTGTTACTACAATGTAATGTACTTAGATATTAGCATAATATTAAAATAACTATAGGTTAGATATATTATTCATCTTCTCTATCCTAAGTAATAAACTATCTTTAGACATTAACACTGTTGGATGCCAACCGGCTCAGTGGTCTAGTTGGTTAAGCGCTTGGCGCGAGACTGATAGGTTCTGGGTTTGAATCTCGTGAGGGTTTGTGGGATCGTGGATGCGCACTGCTGAGGAGTCACACAATAGGACGAAACGGCCGTCCAGTGCTTCCAGGTTTTCAGTGGTTGTCTAACTTCAAGTGACTCATGATCTCAACTGTTGAAATTACTACAATCTCCATGAAACCCCTTCTGATATTATAGAATTGTAATTCTTTTATGTATTATGCAGTGTAATGTACTTAAATATTAGCATAATATTAAAATAACTATAGGTTAGATATGTTATTCATCTTCTGTATCCTAAGTAACAAACCATCGTTATTTTTTTAAAAATTTCCCCATTTAAAACAAAGATGAATAGTGAATAGCAGTGGAATTTAGTTTGATGTGTGTTTCGTCCTATTTGGGACTCGTCAGCTGGATATACTTGCACCGAACAGTTGGTAGTTTGGATTCTATTGTTAGCCACTATTTATCTTTGTTTAAAAAGCTTGTGATTTAAGGCTATATCAAGGCAATCTGCACAGGATACACATATGCCAATAAGAGACTGATTAATTTCAGTCCTAAAACATCAATGGGTAGATTCAAGCAAAACAATACCAAGTGGAGTTAATTTCCCATTTATTTCATGTGTTAATGTTGTATGTAAAAGTATGATTATTAGTGGAGATTTCTATCTATCTCGACTTATCTTGTATGGACACAATCGCTATCGAGTAACCCAGATTAAAAGTGGAGAAAGAAATGGAACGACCGTTAAGTGCTTCCAAGTTTTCAATGCTGGTCTAACATTAATCGGTTCATGATCTCAATCAAAATCTTAATAATCTCCACAAACACATACCACGTGCTCACTAATGACTAGCTTCGC